CCTGAGGCCGCGCTCTGTCGGGGTGGGGGACTGGAGCTGCCGGAAAAACGGGAGAATTAATCATGTTGAGAATTAACAGCGCGACTGGATGTTACAGGATGGCGGCAACTACCCGGCTCAGCTTTTAAACGGCGCAACTACAGAGATACCATTATCTTGTTAGATACACCCTTCTCAACTAAACCCAGCAGCTTATCAACAAAAATCACAGAGAGAAAAAAAAAAAGAAAGATCTTTCCTGGTAGAGGACAGGGTGTGCAATGCGTCACCGGCTTGGGTTTGACCTCATCTAGGTTCTACAAGTGACAGGAGAATGTCAGTTCCAGGACTCTGCCGCCAGGGAGCAGTGAAATAGAAAATTTCGCACCGATGCGGGAGGCCCTTTGCGGGAGTAGGGAGGGCAGACCAGCACAGCTGGCACCCCCCTCTCCCGGGGCGTGAACACGGTTTGGGAAAGCAAACAGCGGTCACTATAAAGTTGACTACCATTCGTAAAGGAGCAGCATGCTAAAAGCAAAAAGCCACTAAAATTGCCTCAGCTAGAAGGCCGGCAGGGTTAGGAGATCCTTTGGAATTATGAAAATAGGCTAAATGTTTCATACATATTCACATGTTCCTCGGTGTTTCACTTAATTCAATAAAATAGTTCAGTTGGAAGGTACCTACAACGATCCATCTAGTCCAACTGCCCGACCACTTTAGGATTCATTTTCCTTTAATTGCTAACAAACCTTTAGAATGTTTGTCCCATTCCAATTTCTAAGATTTTATGCAGGTAAATCAGAGGTACGAGTTACTGTATATTAGCCACAGACCTTATTCACTTAAGTTCAGCGGAAAGGATAACAGATGAAAAATAAGCTTTTCACAACTTAAATTATTATCTTCCGTAGAAGAAAGTAGGTGTAAAGAAAACAGAAACTGTATTCAGGGAGAAACAGTAATTTTATTTAACTCTACTTCATGCGTAAGCATGATAGAACCCCAATTTAACTTTGGCAAATATCACAAAAAAAATAAAACCCAAGCAGCCTATACAGAACAGTGAAAATGCCAAGGATACGGGTTCCCCACAGTTTCACTGCAGAGCAAATGGATTTAGAAGCCTCACTTTGGCTACATCATTTATAACCATATAATTAAAGGTAGTCTTTCACCATCACTTCTTGACTTCTCCGAGATCTTCAATGCTATCATCATCCACCTAGAAAAAAAAGGCCAAAACATAGCATATTAAGTATGTTTTTTCCTTACATGTCTCACTCAACATTCACCACTGTACATATAATGAAGTGTGGGAGAAGTATATGGCACCACCTGAGACTCCCTGCTGTAAATTCCACAGGAGTGACGTGTGCCTATATGACAGAGCCGAACCTACGGGGCCCTGAATAAAGACAGGCCTACAGAATTATTTCAGAAAGAACACAATCAGGAGATACCAGAACAAGGGAGACTCAAAGAAACTGCTTGCGATCAAAGCAGCACAATCAAACCTCCCAACCATCAACATTTCAGTCCAGTTGTGTTTCCCCCCCTCTTGTTTGTTTTTTGTTGTTGGGGTTTTTTTTTAAACTTTGCAATATTTTAAGAGACTTTGAAAAATAGGATGGCAATGTAAGAATACCTGGGCATTCACCGTTAAGAAACGGTCACAAAAAAGCCACAGATACTTGACAGCTGGACTTATTCCGATATGCCTTCCTCACCGTAGTATCCACAGTAACAGCGCTACATGTTTAGGGAGTTAATGGTTCTTGGACAATGGAAGCAACGTTCGACTTCAAGTTTAATCACTCATAGGTGGGAATGCAACAACTGGTCTTTTATTTTTTTCACAACAATCTGCACTGCCAAAGATGAAAGCCTTTTTCAGAATCATGGGAAAGTCACAGGCTATTGTGGAAAATTAAGAGTTCTGACCGAAGAAAGGGTTTATTACCTCAGGCCACTTCTCCTGGATTACATCAATAATGTCATCTGTAAAATCCCCCTGAATGATGATTTCATCTTCTCCTGTTACTGAGGCACCGCAGGAAAACTTCTGAGCAAAAAACCTTTGTGCTTCCTTAAGATCAATTTCTATTGATGGGAAAATGGACAGTTTAAGTACGGTCATTGTCGTAAGTGTATTTTCTCAAGTTTAAAACCAAAATCATCATTTCACCGTTGAAAAACTAGTGGCAGCTTACACTTAAAGCTTTGCTACAGTTTCCATTGCAAGCAAGTTGTTGTTTACATACAAAACAACTGACCTACAAATCTAGCAAACTCTTCAAGGCAAAAATTGCTGAATGTCCTCTATGCATTCTGTTTGTCTATGCTACACACACTCACCAGAAAAGCACATGCAGAACTGACTGAAAAGCTCCCCTAGTTCTGAGTAGCTTCCACAGTTATTGAACAAGTTTGTTCACCGAAGTGCTTCAGTATGTTCCTTTCAACAACATGTCCCAACAATTTGAGATTGGCTTCCAGCATAAAGATACCTACCCACTTCAGAGCAAGCTAGTGCGTATTACTGATCCCTCAAGAAAATTGATAATGCTCTCATCCAAGAAATAGGTAGCATAACTTGTTAATACAACCAAGGCTAAAACTTACCTTTTTAAAAGAATTCATGATCAACGTGTGAAAGAAGATGTTGTTATAGATACAAACACCAAGTGGCTGTTTGCAGCTGAACCAAAGCTATGTAGGACAGCATTGTTAGTGTACTTTGGTAATAATCTGACTGCCTTACTAGAAAGGCAGTTAAAGCCTTACTTAGTCTCTAGAATAGGTAAAAATAATTGCCAATAACCTATTTACAGGTTTGATGGAAATAAGCATCTTTTTAATTATGAACATGTTTATTTTCAAAGACAACAGACTACTCTGAAGTCTAACAAGTGGACTGCTATGGGAAGCCCTGTTTCAAAAAAAACCCCTGTAACTCTGTTTGCAAACACCGTGGAAATAAGGACTTTAATAATTTATTACTGAGAGAAGCCAGTGTACCTTTGGCATGCTTTGGAACTGCTAAAAGCACCCTGGGACTTTCACCTCGCACAGATGGAAGTGGATCACTCAATATAATACAATCAGAAGAAATATGAGGTTAAAGGCAAGCACATCTAAAGCCAACAAAAACCACATAACAAAAGTCAACTCACCAAATGTTGCAAGGCCACATACTCTTGTGACATATTTTTTCTTTGCTCTAGGAATTTTAGCTATTGTAACTTTCTGTGGTACAGTCTTCTTTTTCTGTTTTATCTGACCTCTTCCACCTTTAAAACAGAGTATAAGGTTACATTAATTAGTTAAATGACGTCACACTTAATCAAAGAAAAAGCATATAAGGTCAGATTTCATCCCTATAAACAAAGAAACCATTACCTCCCCATCTGTGTTGGTAAACAAAAATGTATTTTGCACATTGTCTCACATTCAGTTTTTTTAATTATTATTTAAGAAAGGTCCCATGTCATCAAAGCTCAATATTACAAGAAATAACAATAGATGCATGTAAAATGTGCGTTGAAGTACAGCATGGACAGCAGAAGCCCATTTCAATTACCAAAAAGGGAGTTTCCCCACACTCCACTGATCACTGCATTTGGTCTACATTTAACCCCTCTTTCAGTTGTTCTTTGGTTGTAATCATATGAATAAACTGTTACTTTAATGTTTTTCATTAGTTTAACATCCTTACGCAAAGCAACTTACGTTCATTTACTGAGGCCGTGAGGATGTGCCTATTCAGGCTGCTGGGTTAAACAGCAGATTAAGTTCTAGATATTTGTGCATGACCCAGTATGAACCATATATCTATATATGAGCTAGCAGAAAACACCACGGCTCTGAAACAGAAGCCAGCTACAGTAGTTGACTGCCAAGCTTCCACATGATTTAACATCTTTCTTGCTGTCTGTTCCTAGGCCAACCTGAGGGAACACTTCACATATTGGGCATTTATTAGTCCGAGTAAAGCACACAAAAGATATATTCCACTCATTAGGATTCTTCAAGTCAGATTAAGATCTCAGCTAACTTTGTATACACTCATCAAGTTACTCCAGGGTAACCAAAGTTTGATGTTCTTGAGCCTTCTCAGCATGAAAACCTAAAGAATTTATAACAAGCAAACTAACTTGTGACTTTGTGACTACTTCTTTTTCTAACATGTAGCACTTTCAATTCTACATTACTATAAATTGATATCCAATAATGTAAGACAGTAAATTTCTGTCTTAAAATTTCTTCAGTAAGTTTCTGCAGTGTCTTAGTAAGTTTTTGCTTGTTGTTCCTCACCGTCTCTCTTACAGCCAATCTTATACTATCATACTTAACACCATACCGTAAGTTTTCATGAAACTTTGGATTCTAGGAGAAAATCCCTAAGTATTTTAAACACTATTGTTTTAGAATCAAGAACCAGACTAAAAACCAATCATACCACCCCACACAACAAATTAGTGTTGAAAGAAAACGTCCTGAAGTTTCTGGGAAAAGCATCCAAGCTACAGAACGTAAATTACTGTTGTCACTGCACATAGCATACTTGCAAGGTAAACATAACCGGTTACCAAGACTCAAAAATAAAACATTTGCAGTGATATGTGGTTTAAAATCTGACTCTTACTGGGCTATTAACCATAATTTCTAAGGCACTGCAGACACAGCTGACACTCCGCAGACAAATGCATATTAAGCTCAGCATTCTGATTTATAATGGAAAGTATGTTAATTAATTAAACAGAAAGAACTCCAATGATGGAATATGAAAGTGCATTTAAATTGTTTCATATATTTTATATCTTCAACGTTGGTTTTTGAAAAGTGTTTCTCATTAGTATTGCTGGGAAGAGACACAGCTGTTAATGGAGACATAGGTGATAGTGTTAAAAGCACAAAACTAAATCCTGTTATGTGAATACAGAAGAGGGGTGGAAGGAAAAAAGGCAAAAGCAGTGTCATGAGGCATTAATAGAGGAAAGCGGTCTTTGTTCTACTCTGCAAGCAACCTATAAACTGCTGTTAAACAGGGCAGAAACCAGTATTCTGGGAAGCATGCCAGCTGATTTTAGGTTGAGAATTACTCCATGAATAACAGCAACAGCAATGACAGGAACAATGAGACACATGATGCAGGTCATCTTTCACTTGCTATTACTACTATCCAATTCTTTCATCAGCATATATCACTGCACTAACTCTGCAACCACCAGAAGAACAATATTTGGTATCTTTTGTGCAGAGTCAAAGCGTAGCTAAAAACGAAAATGCAAGGAATCTGTGCCATCGTCCAGACCAGCAGGTGAGAAAGCAATGCCCCAAGCTGCTTACAAATCAGTACCGCAATCAACTATTTAGACCTTGCCTCTCTTTTGCTTCTTCTTCTCCTCTTCTTCTCCCGCAGTTCCTTGGCCTTCTCCAACCCCAGCTTCCTGTTTAGGTGAATTTTCTTCAATACATCAGAAAGGAATGGGGAGAAGAAAGATAACAAAATTAGTGGTCAGACAGCCACAGCCTTACCAGAACAGGAAGTAAGGTAGAGTGATATTTTGCTAAATCCGTAAACTCTTTGCTTAAGTGCAGCAGCCCCTTGACTGATGCGTGTTACACCTTCATTATAGTACTTACGCAACTCAGACTTCAGAAAAGCCTTAGCTCAAAGATACAGTTACAATTTCAATACAGTCTCTTCACATAATTTCCACAGAGAGACAGAAATTAATGATAGTGTTAATACTGAAATTCCAAATGCAAATCAACAAGTTCCCTATTATTAATGACCTTTCCTCCAGCCATCCACAGTAGACTGGACAGACATAAAATCCAATAAACTAACTTCGATGGGAAACAAGTACATGGATGACTGGTTACAGTAGGAATCTTAAGAAAGCTCAAACATTATTACTGAAACTACAGACTATTTATTCAGTGTTTTCTGACATTATCAAACATATTTGCACAGCATCCAAAAGCATAGTAGACTCCTAAAAAAATTATTAACTTTTTACAGCAGGAAAAAGGAAGAGATGAGAATTGGGCAAGCTCAAAGATTTTTGAATATGTCTAAGGGCATAGATCAGTTAGAAAATAGAAAAGAGTCTTACCTACTGTAAGTTTTGCAAACTCATCTGGAAAATTCTTTTCTAACCATTGTCTGCACTTAGTCACATCAGGCATGTATTCGCAGTACTAGAGAAGAAAGGTCATATGAATGCTGTTAGCAGAGTAACTACACAATACGTCATGAACAAATACACCAAAATATATTTGCTATTCAGCTCAGTCATTTCTCCTGCAGATGACTGAGTATGAATACTATACTTGTGCATAAGAAACCTCGTGTCATCGTAAAGATGACAGTGGCTGAAGCACAGAACTGCCACAATTAAGAAAAGCCAGAAGAGGAAGAGACATCATAGTGAGGAATCACAGGACAGAAAGAAGAAACTCAGACAACAAAAAAATTAACTCACCTCTGTTGGCAATGAACAGACTGGAGAAAGAAGGGAGGAAAAAAAAATAGATTACAAAAAGAAGTTCTCCAGTTACAGCCTTAGCATTAAATTAAAAATGGTATTTTAAAGTTAGGGATGACTTCCTACATCATAACTTCTGGTTATAACCACACTTTGACTCAAGAAGATTACTTTATTGACACCATCCACATTTTTTCTCTCATTAGTCATTTGCTCACACGCTCTGCATTAGGATAAAACTATCACAGCAAGAGCAGCCAGTCAATGAAGGAAGGGAAGGAGATGCCTACAGCTTTGGGAAAAGCTACAGAAAGAGCGAGCAGTTCTACCTGAGGCAAAAGATAAACCTAATAAATTACCACGTGATTTGGTTAGTTTTCCTTTTCCCAAGAGCTGCCAATGTCCAGAGGAGGGGCTCAGGCACAGAACAAACCCAAACCAATCGTGCAGGCTTTCACGCACAACAGGAATTTTCTCCTAATCCCCTGCAATTGTATTGAAGCCCAAAGCAAAATAATATACCTATCTAAAAACATGCTTGTCAAGAATATTGACATAATTTCATCCACATAACTACAAATGTAAAGAATAAAGAGTAATTCTAAACACAGTGCAACAATAACTTCCATGAATTCTAACTTTATTTCTTATTGTCATACTAACGCCCAGAGGCATTTTCTGTGCTAAAGTCTTTACTGGCTTTCTGCAGGAAGAGACCTTTGCTCAACAGTTCACCACCTGAGCATCACTTGCACTGCTTTTACACACAGAAAGCTGTTAGTACCTCCAACTCTCAGAGGGAAGACTCCTACATTTCACCAAAAATGCTTTAGATAAAATAAACAACACAAGCTATTTTAAAAAGACGATCAGAAAGGTCAAGCTGACTGTGGTCTAGCTTCTCAATAAAAGCTAACCAAAAGAAAAATCTCTGATTCTCTCATTCTTTCTGCTAGGCTGCCCTCACAAACAGCACATTGTAAGAATCATGGACAACTGCCCCTTCAGCACTTGCCTCCGCAGTAGAGAACCCGAAGAGGATAGTCGGCATCTGACCTGGCACCGCTCCTTACGTCTCCTCTGCAGTCAGGGACTACAGGCTCAGCTACATCTGTGGCCATGTCACAAGCCTGGAGGTCACTGAATTAAAGAATCAGGACATAAGTTCTGGGTTAGTGATTCACATCTTTCCCAACTCAACAAGAATCTCACAGAAAACAGTGAAATTGTAAGAAAATCAGGAGGGATCGGGGAGAAAAAAATAGGAGTCATGAAATAATGAAAAAATATGGAGAAAACAGCTGCAAAAGATACCAAGCAGTATGGAATTATATTATACAAGGGGAAAAACACCAAAGTACCACAAAAGTGAAGAAAGCGGGGAGGTACTGCCAGTATACTAGCAAAGAAAAGGGGTTATTTAAACCAGCATCTGGAGAGTTACAATCTGATCCTAGGACAGTGGCAAAAAAACCCCAAACACCACAACACAAGCAAACCAAACTAAACCGCATTTAATAATGGTTTACATGCACACATTTTCAGGCAAGGCACTTAGAAAAGAGGAGTCAACAGGGAAGGCGTTTGCAATGCATACGAAGTCCCCCAGGATCACGGAAGCAAGGAGGATATGCGTGCGGAAGACTCCTATCGCTTCACTGGGCAGTAGAGAGGTGAGGGAAAATGCCAGGGAGCCCGAGGTGGTGGGGTTGGCCGTAGGGGGACCGCGGGGAAAGGCGGCAGGCGGTCATAGTGAGAAGGATGCAGAAGTACCCATGGAGGTCCCAAATGGAGCAGGAAGGGTGCTGGATAGTAGGGGGTAAAAGTGAGGGCAGGTCGGGGGGAAAGGGAGGGGTGCTGGGGCACCAGACGTGATGGGGAGCACAGACACGGTGGGATGGAGGGGCAGAGCTGAGGGAAAGGAGGCCGCCGGGTGCCCGAAGGGGAGGATGCCGGGGTGCACGGGGCCGGGGCTCACTGCGAGTGGCAAAGCCGCAGCACCGGAGGAGGGGGAGGATGTCGGAG